ATGAGTATCACTATATTCTTGAATGTAAAGCTTTTAATATAAGAAAAAATACACGAATAATATTTATTATTAAATTTATTTTTAAAAGTAGTGTCGACTATAGATGTACATCCAGCCGGAATTCGCGTTGGAGTAAGTAGCAAAAGTGGCGAGGTTACATATCGACGTCACAGGCACTTGTTTCTGTAATAAATTTTTAACCCATATTATAATAATCATTATGCAAAGGGTTAAAAATTTATTGCAGAAACAAGTGCATGTGCTACATTGCCTCTTTCATTAGTCTGCGGCTTATGTACGTACAGGTTGATTAAAAGTACAAAATAATGCATATACATGCATTAGCTGCAGAACTGAAGCTCTCCGAAAAAAAATATTGACAATCCGGAGAGCTACAGTGCCACCCATTGAAAAAAGTGGATATTTATTGCGCACAAAAAAGTGCGCTGTTTCTCGATTTATTTTTCCGTGTTTTTCAAACCGCCGTTTCAAAATATTACTAACTGTGTGTTCCTAACATATTCCTGTACTATTTCCACAGCAATACATTCCTTATAACCCTTGTAAACACAGGCGCCTGAAGTGTGGATCGATACCCCCCCCCCCCTCCCTTCTTAATTAAAAAAAGATTAAGAGCGTATATCTCAAAAATACATAATTTTTCAGTCAATCACATCTATATGTCGTTCTATGCAAGCAGATTGCACTTTTTCTCACGTTTAGAGAAAGGACGTATACGGTATAATAGTGTATTTTTCTAAAAATGAGTGCAACTTTTTATGCGCAATAAATATACAGTTTTCTTTTTCTTAGGGTGGCGCTGTAGCTCTCTGGTCATCCCAATTTTTTCAGACCAGTGAGCTACAGATCTGCAGCTTATACATGCATAAGACTAGCTGCAGATCTGTAGCTCGCTGGTCAGAAAAAATTGGGATGGATGACCAGAGAGCTACAGTGTCAGACGAAAAACAAGAAATATTTAAGGCATTTCAGACCTGTTTAGTAACACATGGACAATTAGTCTGGGTGATTTCTTTTAAAATAAATCACAATGTATTTTGATCATGAACAACCGTCTTCTTTCGATGTATCAGGCTGGAAATTTACACAAGATAAGGATATTTATAGAAACTGATGACCTTATATACATAGTAAAAGTTTGGGGACTTACACAAGATAAAGGATATTTATAGAAACTGAGGACCTTATACACAAGGTAAAAGTTTGGGGACTTACACAAGATAAGGTATATATAGAAACTGAGGACCTCTTACACATGGTAAAAGTTTGGGGACTTACACAAGATAATGGTATTTATAGAAACTGAGGACCTTATACACACAGTAAAAGTTTGGGGACTTACACAAGATAAGGGTATTTATAGAAACTGAGGACCTTATACACATGGTAAAAGTTTGGGGACTTACACAAGATAAAGGGTATTTAAAGAAACTGAGGACCTTATACACATTGTAAAAGTTTGGGGACTTACACAAGATAAGGGTATTTATAGAAACTGAGGACCTTTTACACTCAGTAAAAAGTTGGGAACTTACACAACATAAAGTGTATTTAAAGAAACTGAGGACCTTATACACATGGTAAAAGTTTTGGGACTTACACAAGATAAGGGTATTTATAGAAACTGAGGACCTTAAACACATGGTAAAAGTTTGGGGACTTACACAAGATAAGGGTATTTATAGAAACTGAGGATCTTATACACATGATAAAAGTTTGGGGACTTACACAAGATAAAGGGTATTTAAAGAAACTGAAGACCTTATACACATGGTAAAAGTTTGGGGACTTACACAAGATAAGGGTATTAAAAGAAACTGAGGACCTTATACACACAGTAAAAGTTTGAGGACTTACACAAGATAAAGGGTATTTAAAGAAACTGAGGACCTTATACACACAGTAAAAGTTTGGGGACTTACACAAAATAAAGGGTATTTAAAGAAACTGAGGACCTTATACACACAGTAAAAGTTTGGGGACTTACACAAGATAAGGGTATTTATAGAAACTGAGGACCTTATACACATGGTAAAAATTTGGGGGCTTACACAAGATAAGGGTATGTCTAGAAACTGAGAACCTTATACACATGGTAAAAGTTTTGGGACTTACACAAGATAAGGGTATGAATAGAAACTGAGGACTTTATACATAAGGTTAAAGTTTTGGGACTTACAAAAGATAAGGGTATTTAAAGAAACTGAGGACCTTATAAGCATGGTAAAAGTTTGGGGACTTACACAAGATATGGGTATTTATAGAAACTGAGGACTTACACAAGATAATGGTATTTATAGAAATTCAGGACCTTATTCACATGATAAAAGTTAAGGGACTTAAATAACATAAGGGTATTTATAGAAACTGGGTACTTACACAAGATGCAGGTATTTATAGAAATTGAGTACTTTATACACATAGTTAAAGTTATGCATAATAAATGTATAGAAACTGATCACCTTATACACATAATAAAAGTTTGGGAACTTACACATAATGAAAGTATAGATACTAAGGACCTTACACAAATTGTAAAAGTTTAGGGACTTACGCAATACAAGGGTATTTATAGAAACTGAGGACTTTATACACGTGCAAAGTTTGGGATTTACACAAGATAAAGGGTATTTATAGACACTGAGGACCTTATACACATGATAAAAGTTTAGGGACTTACACAAAATAAGGGTATTTATAGAAACTGAGGACCTTATACACATGGTAAAAGTTTGGGGACTTACACATAATGAAAGTATAGAAACTGAGGACCTTATACACATGGTAAAAAATTGGGGACTTACACAAGATAAGGGTATTTAAAGAAACTGAGGACCTGATACACATGGTAAAAGTTTGGGGACTTACACAAGATAAGGGTATGTATAGAAACTGAGGACCTTATACACATGATAAAAGTTTGGGGGCTTACACAAGATAAGGGTATTTACAGAAACCGAGGACCTTATCCACAATGGTAAAAGTTTGGGGACTTACACAAGATAAGGGTATTAATAGAAACTGAGGAACTGATACACATGGTAAAAATTTGGGGACTTACACAAGATAAGGGTATGTATAGAAACTTAGGACCTTATACACATGGTAAAAGCTTGGGGGCTTACACAAGACAAGGGTATTTATAGAAACTGAGGACTTTATACACATGCAAAGTTTTGGGACTTACACAAGATAGGGGTATTTATAGACACTGACGACCTTATACACATGATAAAAGTTTAGGGACTTACACAAGATAAGAGTATTTATAGAAACTGAGGACTTTACACACATGGTAAAAGTTTGGGGACTTACACATAATGAAAGTATAGAAACTGAGGACCTTATACACATGGTAAAAGTTTGGGGACTTACACAAGATAAAGGGTATTTAAAGAAACTGAGGACCTTATACACATGGTAAAAGTTTGGGGACTTACACAAGATAAGGGTATGTATAGAAACTGAGGACCTTATACACATGATAAAAGTTTGGGGGCTTACACAAGATAAGGGTATTTATAGAAACCGAGGACCTCATACACAATCGTAAAACTTTGGGGACTTACACAAGATAAGGGTATTAATAGAAACTGAGGAACTGATACACATGGTAAAAGTTTGGGGGCTTACACAAGATAAGGGTATGTATAGAAACCGAGGACCTTATACACATGGTAAAACTTTGGGGGCTTACACAAGATAAGGGTATTAATAGAAACTGAGGAACTGATACACATGGTAAAAGTTTGGGGACTTACACAAGATAAGGGTATTTATAGAAACCGGGGACCTTATACCCGATGGTAAAACTCAGGGGACCTACACAAGATAATGGTATTTTTAGAAACTAAGGACCTGATACATATGGTAAAAGTTTGTAGACATAAACATTATAAAAAAGCAAGGTTAACTTAGGGTTTTTATGGCCCTTTGAATTGTGAGAAATCAAAACTACTCAGTTTTGGTATCATGTGCATTAAATTATCTTTTGGACCTTTGGTGACTGTATCTATTAAAAATGATGTAAAGAGCTGGGTTCACTTTATCCATAAAATGGCCCTTCATACATACCAATTAACTGACAAAGTCCCAGGGTCCTATTTCAAACATCAATATAAAGGAAAGATTTTCCCCATATCCTGAAAATTCCTTCAACAACGGACAAAAGTTTTAGCATTTTTCAAAAATATTTCATATAGAGTGCAATCTCTAATCCATGCTGAGGATATTAATAATTAAGGATCTGTTTCTGAAAAACATGTTTTATATTTTGGGTCAAGGAGTAAGCTTGTATTTAGTTTTCTTTCAAATAAGCCTGTTTTCTGCAAAAGTTCAAGAACTTTGCAATTTTACAAAGCTTGTTTAATTTCCAATCTCTGGACTCTTTAAGAAACTTTGTTAAAGGAATGAAAGGCACTCTCAGCTTTATTTGGATGTTAGAAATGGGACAGAGGGTGATGGACAATTAACTGATATAAGGACAGGGCTATCTTATGCATAAAGTGAACCCAACTCTTTATATTCAATTCAACTCACTTAAAAGTACATTTCACTGTAGATTTCATAAACAATACCATAGTGGATAAATAAAAAAAGAATTTCTGCATATAACTTTATTTGAAGACTTGATCAAACTTAATTGGGACATGCACATTTTTTTCACTTTCAGAAAGGTCATGCGATACTTGAAAACATGTTCATGAAAAAAAAGGAAAAAATTTCCTTCTGCACAGAATATTTAATACATGTACTTCAAAATCATTTGCTACACACATCATGCAGTTTCTTCTGCACTCTTCAGTCATGCAGTATCATGGTCCATGCAGGTTTCATAATGATAAAACTGCTGCAAACAATTTAACCCCCAATACTGCTAATTGTGGCTCCGAAACACAGTGTTTATCATTTTTCTCAAAAATATATCAATTGAAATTAGTGTGTAAATCTCGATTTTCTCTGTTTTTTTTAAACTAGATTATATACTTGGTCTTTAACACTTATCTAAGTTTTTATTACATTTTTGTAATCTTTTCTGAAATGTTTTTTGATTAAAATCATTTCACATGATGTCCTTGGGATTTTTTGTATCTTCTGTCACTTGCATGCAGAATCTTCCATTTCTGTTGTGGATCTGTGATCAGAAAGTGGCTTCCTTTTCCTTAAAATCAAATTTTCAGAATATAATTTTTCTTCTGTTTATACTTTTGTCTGTATAAAAATAAAGCAAATAGCTCTGAAAGTGGCTTATCATGACTGGCTAAGTATTTTGTGAAAAGTGAAGAACTTTTCGGTATCTGAAATACAATTTGGTAGGAGAATGATTGTTCACTAATATATATGTATTAAATAGGTACATTCATTATTTGAATGATCTGTGAACTTGCGTGCTTGGCTACTTAAATTTACATTCAGTTTTAGATCAATATTTTGTTCTATTTGGAATTTAATCTCACTCTTCCATCTCCATTCAGAAGACATCTGTGTGAAATGCGATGACTCTCATATTGGTAAAGTTCCACCAATGCAAATAACTTATTTCAGAATATACCTTGCTCTACCCTTGAATATATAACCACTCTTTTTGTCACTTATACTGAAGCTCTTCTGTTCATACTCAATATCCAGTATTGAGAACTACACATTTTTCATGCATGTAGACCACGCAGCACTGTTAAGGCATACTGTGAAGAAATCAATGGAAAATAGGCATGTACAAATAGATAACTTTTTAATGCTGATTTATTTTTGTAAAGCTATTATATTCCCAGATGACTTAAAAATTAATAAAAATAATATTGTAGGCCTATACCCCACTCTATATTGAATCTAGTTTGGTAACCTTATATGGAAGTCACGTGATAATTGCATATAATGTGTACTACATGTAGGTCATACACAAATTTCAATATCACAAGGGCATATCCTAGTTCCATTAAAAAATCTAAGTTATAAATTATTTCTATATACATTGTACTTTCTGAAAAGTTCTGCTGCTTTAGAATTTACATTTTATAAGGAAAAATTCATGTTATGTAGCTCCAGCTGAAATATGTGTGACCTTTACAAAGTGTTTTATGCATTTATTAAATAATGCTCTGGATTTCGGGGAAGCAGCAGCACTTTTCAAGTTAAGGAAAATATCCTTTATTTACATTCGAAAAACGGATAAGATCTATTAAGTGTATGCCCTTGCGAAAAAACAATTTAATTAGGCACCTCGATGTTAAACATGGGTCCGGAACCTTGTACATAAAAACACGGAAGAATTTATTAAATACATTTTCTGTATAATTATTGAATAATTGCACTAAACAAAGGTTTTACATTTGTATCACTTGCCTGTCTGAAATCTGTAAATAATATTCTGTTTAATAATAAAATACATTTTTCACTGTAAAAAAAAATCTTCGTTCTGTCTCTCACAGCACATGAAATATGTCATTTTTACCAAAATGATGTCATGTCGACAAGTTCACTGCAATCAGTAATTTGTTAATAACCTGCTCTGTGGGATTTAACTAGCAACAAAAACTAATGCATTGGTAGTTTTCATGTTGTTTATTATGTTAAGATAGTTTAAAATTGCAAATTATTTCATTTTCTGGTATTATGAGGAATAACTATTTTTGTGTGATGTCATAGTAAACTTTTCCCGTAAAAATTAGGCCCCACCCCCTTTATGCAGCCTTAACAATGCTACGCATTCAGGGCTTCTGCTTATAATATCAAGAAAAGGAAGTTATTGCTTAAAGATGGGTAATGCAGTAATGTAGTGTGTATACAGTACCTGGAATGTGGAAATCATGATTGTCTTGACTGTCATCCATTTCCTCCTCACTCTGATTCTCATCACCAACACAAGAAACATCACCATCGATTTCCTTTACTGCCTCTGAAAAAAATGCAACTTAATTGTAACAAGCATTCTGAGAGTATTGCATTAGCAATACTAGTCCCCTACCGGCAAGTGTAATCTGGTTCCCGTTAAAAATTGAAAATGCCATAATTTCATCAAAAATCAATGAAGCGGAACGAAATGCATACTTGATCTATAACTCATCAAGGTAAAGTCACATACCAAAAATCAGCTCAATATCTGCAAGCGTTTAGAAGAAAATTGCGGAAAACCCTTAGAAATTGAAGAGGTCATAATTCCGTCAAAAATCAATGAAGCGGAACGAAATGCAAACTTGATCTGTAATTCATCAAGATACACTCAATACCAAAAATCAGCTCAATATCTGCAAGCGTTTAGGAAAAAAGTGCGGAAAACCAAGTGGGACAGACTGACAGACAGACAGAGGGACAGACAGACAGACGGACAGAAAGACTCAGAGGAAACCTATAGTCCCCTCCAGTTTCACTGGTAGGGGACTAAAAACACAAACAATTCAACCAGAACAAGCATTCTGAGAGTTTTGCCATTGCAATGCTCGTCCCCTACCAGCAAGTGTAATCTGGTTCCCATTTAAAATTGAAAATGCCATAATTCCGTCAAAAAATCATAATGCAAACTTAATCTATAATTCATCAAGTTAGACTCACATACCAAAAAACATCTCAATATCTGCAAGCGTTTAGAAAAAAAGTGTGGAAAACCAAGTGGGACAGACTGATAGACATACATATGGACAGACAGAGAGATGTACAGAGAGACGCACAGACACGGTGAAACCTATTGTCACCTCTGGTTTCACAGGTGGGGGACTAATAATAATTCTAATAGTTTTTGCAAAGATTAAAAAATGCTGTGGACATAATTCTACAATAAATCACAGTTACCAAAAGCATAAAAGGTATACAATTCATATTAAAATTTGAACTGGTGGAATAAATACTTGTACAGTTAGTCAGAAAAACAAGCCTATATCAAAGTGCTAGGGACAGACAATTTTGCTTTGTTAAAAACTTAAGGTAAATCATTATTCATGTATACATTGAGTTGTAATATGTTTAAAAAAAAACAGAGAATAAAAATCACTTTGCTATTAGCTTGAATTCATTATAAGCTAAAGCGTGTTTTACTGTATATGTATAAGGAAATAATGATACCATATCACTTCTTCTGCCAGTCTAAACACTGTGTACTACCTTCTTTTGTTCATCATGACCTCATGTAAACAGAATATTTTAACAGAACTCCCCAGCATAACTTGTAAATAAAATGTCATCTTAAAAAATTATCAACAGTGTGTCTTTGTTAAAGCTACAATTTATGTGAAACAAAATGTGTTTGTGAAACACTGATGCCCCCGTAGGGCGAGGGTTGAAGTTTCTCAAATACATGTCAAACTATAAGGTCAAGGTGAAAAGGTCAAACTGTTGGTATCCAAAGGAAGGTGTTGTCACAAGGAATACACCTGTGAAATATGAAAGACCTTGTACTAACTGTTGAAAATTATAGCCGAGGTTAAAGTTTTCAAAAAGTGGGTCAAACTCTAAGGTCAAGGTCAAAAGGTCAAAAATATTTGTGCCCATTAAAAGGTCTTACCACAATGAATATACAAGTGAAGGATGAAAGCCCTAGCACAACCGTTCAAATGTTATTGCAAAGGTTAAAATTTGGTAATTTTTTGTGCAAGTGGGTCAAATTCCAAGGTCAAGAGGTCAAATTAAGTGATACCCAAAGAAAGGTATTGTCACAAGTGACCTGTGAAATATGAATGTCATAGTTCCATCTACTAAAAAAGTTATGGGCAAGGTTAAATTTTTGCAGACAAACAAGATTGATAAGCAGGGCAAAAACTATATACCCCTAATACTGACTAAGGGGTTAATTAATTCTTAAAAAGAAGATTCTATGACAGAAGCAATACCTGATGCCACTTTATTCCTAACCAACATTTTTCACTCCTGGAACCTTGAGCAGAGCAGATGCTTGACTGGGACCTACATGTAGGATATCAGTGTTATAGGCACCTGAGAAACCAGCATGGTAACACTTTCATCAATGAGACTTTCAGGCTTCTCAAGAGATGTGATTGGGAACCAACCAAATTCATTTCCTAGTGAATTTTTAACAGTAGCTGTTATTTATTTCTTAAATTCCTAAAAAAATTTTTTACCTGTAACACACTAATGATGAGGCTTTCTGACATTCTCCTAGCCATGGAACCTGGTACATTTCCATCATTAGGTCTTGCATTAACTAATTCTCTAGCATTATTTGCTGAATCTGTTGATAAACAAACAATATTTACTGTTACCTTTTAACTTAAAAAATATGACACATAATAGGTGAATCTTGATGATTTCTACACAACCATTCTTAATGTAAATATTGAACAAACAAGAGGCCCATGGGCCATAATGCTCACCTGATTAACTATGGCCCTTCTGTTCTCCGTCAGCAGATTCTTTCTTCTCCTATTTATTCTTGTGTAAAACTGATCACATATTATAGCCCCACCCTACCATAGGGGGTCATGATTTGAATACATGTAACCTTCAATCTACTCTACCTGAGAATGCTTCCATATAAATATGACTTCATATAAATTTTCCTCTTCTTAAGAAGAAGATTTTTAAAGACATTTTCCATATGTATTCCATTATAAAACTTTTACTGCCTATTGTGGTCCCACCTTAACCACCCCCCTCTCCCCAGGCATGATTTTAGCAAATTTGTGTCTACAATACCTTTAAAGTTTCTAAAAAAAAAATATGAAATTATGGCTTTGTTGTTCTTGGGAAGAAGATTTAAAAAAAAATATTTTCTATATATTCCAATGCATTACCCTGATCCCCTGTTGTGGCCCCATGCTAGTCCCGGAGGTTATGATTTAAACAAATTTGAATCTTCACTACCTGAGGAAGCCTCTGTATAAAAAATGACTAATAATGGCTTTGCTGTTTTTAGGAGGAAGATTTTTGAGGATAATTCCTACATATTCCTATGTAATTCTCTGATCCCTTCTTATGATCCCATCCTACCCCTGGGAGTCATGATTTGAACAAACTTTAATAGAAGCTTTCACATAAATTTCATCATTTCTGGTCAAGTGGTTATTGAGCAGAAAATTTTTAAAATTCAAATTTTCATGAGTTCCTTATTATCTCCCCCTGAAAGGGGGCATGGCACTTCCTCTAAACAATCTTAAATTCCTTTCCTTTCACCCAAGAATGCTTTGAGGTAAGTTTGGTTGAAATTGGCCCAGTGGTTCTGAAGAAGAAGTTGAAAATGTAAAAATTAAGTTTACGGACAACATGACAGAAAGCTGCTGATCTGTAACTTGCTGGTTTGAAAAAATTGGGATAGACGACCAGAGAGCTACAGTGCCACCCATAGAAAAAAAAGTGTATATTTATTGCACACAAAAAGTTGCGCTCGGTTCTGAATTAATTTCTCTAAATTTTTACCTCAACTGCACAAAACCTGGATTTCAAAATTTTCCTTAGACCTCTATCAACTACTCTTGTAGTTGACATCTGCAAGAAGCGCGTTGGACCGAATTACCTTGCCACCCAAGATGGCAGAATAAATAGACAAAATTTTCGATGATTTCAATTTCAGGCCCAGGAGGGCTATTGATATGATTAACAATGGTTGTAAAGAATGTTTTGTTGTGGAAAAAGTGCAAAAATATGTTAGAGACACAGGGTTAATAGTATTTTTAGATTGCAGTTGATAACAGAGAAATAAATCGAGATTCTGCTTACTTTTTTTTTGGCGCAGTAAATATACACATTTTTTTAATGGGTGGCACTGTAGCTCTCCGGTCTGACAATATATTTTTTTTTTCGGAGAGCTACAGTTCTGCAGCAACATGACAGACAGATGGACAGAAGGTTGACGGACAGCTAGATAGACAGACATCGGACACTTTTTGATCAGAAAAGCTCACTTGAGTCTTCTGCTTGAGTGAGATAAAATCTCTTTTGGAAGATTGAATTATTTTATTATTACCTGGAAGGCTGTAAACAAATTTCCTTGCATCTTTTTTACTCATCATGGTTTGAAAGCTTTGTAACTGTATTAAAAGAGAATTCTCTAATTAAAAGCTGTTCTTTATTTCTTCAAGGGATCTCTGTATACCTAAATTGGAAAAGAAAAACTTCATAAAAGTCATAATTAAGCTTTGGCAATCAAGTATGAAAATAAGAGGATGAAAATGATATTTTTACCCCTGAAGGTTTTACAACAACTTCTGCAGGTACTTTGGCAACACTATGCACTTAAATTCTTATGTTGCATCATTAACCACAGAATTGTATAATATAGAGTATATCAATTGACATGTCTAATCTCTACAGTTCAGAGGGGGAAATACAGAAATCTTTTTAAAGTGTAGGCTATTAAAATCAGCATAAATTACTTTTCATTTTTTAAATTTTTTTTCGTTTCTTTGAAAACAATATGCTTTAGAAGCTTATAACTACTACACCAAAAGACCGTTCACAGTAGCTCAGTTGGTAGAGCGCTCACTCTGTGATCAGGAGGTTGTGAGTTCGAATCTCAGCCGCGACTGACCTAAGTCGATAAAAATGGGTAGCAACTGTTTCTTCGCCATGCGCTCGGCACTTTGAAGTGAAAGTTGTGGGTTCTTCGGATGAGACCTTAAAAACCGAGGCCCCGTGTCACGGCAGGCGTTGGCACGATAAAGATCCCTCACTGTTCAGTGGCCCCGAGTGCCGAGTAAAGGTCAAAATTTGAAGCCCTTCACCGGTGTATGGTGACATCTCTATATGAGTGAAAAATTCTCGAACGGGACGTAGAACAACATACATACATACTACATCAAAAAAAGCAATACAGGACATTAAATGTTGAATGATACAACAAATTCGGTTTGAAATATTTCATTACCTTAAAAATAAGCAAATATTTATGGTTGAGTTTAAATGTAGAACCTAATAATCCAGCTTTGATAATGCATGTAATTGTACTGTCTCCATGTTCAGGGGGGATTCCATGCATCTTCTGTTTGCCTCAAACATTCTAACAAAAAAATTTCATAAATTTAATTCTGAATTTATTTATTCATAGATTTGCTAACATTTTTGACCAATCAAAGTGCATGTTTTGAAAACATGTGTTGTTTTAAATGTTAACATGCTAGATGCAGAGACACTAAGCTAATTTCTTAGTAAATAGTTGAGTATCTGTTGTTTAAATTTTTTTTTCCACTTTTAAACATTTGTTAAGCTGATCAATTACAATTATAATGTGTTAAGTTACACTATGCATTATATCATGAGTGTTTATATTTGTTGGAGACAAGAACTAAAGTGTCAAAAATGTAGTAAATTCCAGATCTTTTGATAAAACGGCTCTTGACTTTTGAATAGCTTTCGGTCTCAGTCAACTAATACCTGACCAGGTCTGTATAGTAATGAGTAGACCTCATCAAAAGTCAATAATTGTACATGAATTCAATAATATTCATCTGGAAGATAACATGCAGGTGAATACTGTAAATGTATTCTATTTAGCGTGTACATGTACGATATTTGAGGGAAATTAACTTTTGAGCAAGTTAGCTTAGATTTGATTTAGCACATTTCTTAATGTTCTTAATCATGAATAATTATGTGCTGCAAGACATTTAGCATTGTACTTGAATTAACAGAAGATTCTTTCAGCCAAAGGCACTAAAAAAAATACACATCCAAATGTAATATGTCTACAGTATAACATTTTTTGATTTCTAAAATGTTGGCTATCAGACAATCAAAAACCTGAGAATTATTCAATCATAAAATCTTAATCGTGCGACCATTAGGGCAAGCGCAGACACCTTTTCAGTGTACTGTTTATCATTGTATTTAGGCCTGTCTCTATAAACCGCACGTGACATTTGGTGCGTCTAGACTCTGACGGCACATGATGTGGTATGTAAGTTTCATTACCATTAAACTGAAGAAAGAACAGTGCTTATTTTAATGAAGAATGTTTTATTAACTATTTATCTGCAATATATCCAATAAATAAAGGCGAGTTTATTATTTGTTGAACTTTTATTGTTATTCTTGTGAGAAGGTAATTTAACAAGCAATGCATTGTGGGTCCAGAAGTTACTGTGGAAAAAAAATTTGTTTGGATCAATGTGCAATGTCCAAATTTTCTCTTCACCCACGCGTTGTATTAAGAGCTGCCAGTGATGAGCGGGGCTTTGCGCCACTCCCTATACTCGCAATGATTATTGTTATCATAACTGTTTACTTACAATTTACATCGAAAAGGGTCTCAGTTTGTAGGATTTAAAGGGAACAAACAAAAATATTCTTTAACAAATCCTCAATGATTATTGCACACAACTTGATGAAAAAGTCAATACTTGATTTTGCATATACTTAACTTAGCAGAACTCTTTTGCGGTGGAGGTAGGAAACGCCTGTTGGATTGGGGCAAATGTGCTATTGAATACAATGCAAGATCGATCATTGTGGAATTTATAAGAAAGAAATCCTGGTGAAATATCTTGCTAAACATATGCTGAACCAGCCTAATAAATCTGAGAGAGGAGCTAATCCTCAAATGTTACATTTTTAGCGATACTTTTCACTAAGTGGACTCTTCTCATGAAATTCTCATTGAAAATCGTTACTTTTTATAGTTCATAAAATACTTTAAACTTTCCTTATTTGACAAAATAGCTACTATTTCGAGTTCAATCCTTGGCAATACATTGTACTTTCTGCATACTCATCACTGCTTAATGTTCAAATCATTTGATTGTCACTGCTGTAAACAATGTTATGCCCCAGAAATCTTGCGAGATTTAGAGCTTCCTCGACTCCCCCACAAAAGAGCAGTAGTAAGTAAGATAACTGCGAGGTACTCGTGATTCTATGTATTGTTCTGTTAGTTCAATATTCGATATTGGTATACCGACCTTACAAATTTATTACCAGTCTTACAGAAAACAGCAAACTGTTATAATTAATTTACAATGTGGAAACCTAATTTCCCCAACCAAAATATTGCCTAACTTAACCCAAATATTAATCTATTGTGATGGTTTGAAGTGTATTTATTATGTGTGTATATATTTATTTATCTGTATGTGACATATTTCATTCATATTTCCCCTATTTGTCTTAACTTGTTATACGAAGTTATTCCCCTTTGTTTATAACCCGTCCGGATTAGGCACGCCCAGGTCTATAGTACCCGGCTGGGATTTATTGTTGTCATATTATACATGCATTTGTGTATAATCAGCAGCAGTCGATATTATTATTGATTATCGATTAGACATATTTCGAGGATCGAGGCTAAATTTCTATCTACAATAATGGTAATTATCACACTCTTGGATCGTAGGTGATATTGTTTCATATGTTTTACGTTTGATTTACATGATTGTTATTTTAACAGAATATAGAATCTAATTCTTCAGTCTTTAAACACTGAAATTCTTGTTTTCTTTCATCCTTCCGAACTCGGATTATGTACGGGACTGACCCCTAGACAATCATGTTACACTATATCGCCAAACCCCCCAACTCCGTCACTACCCTAACTGCGTCACTTTCGGGAAACTCCGCACTGTTTGTAAAAGAATGCGATTGTGACGTCATTTTTTACATGCCAAAAATCTACAATCAAATGCCAATAAATTTTTACAGTCAAGTTCAAGAATGTGTCAAAAATAAATAACAATTACACTTGATCTATTGTAGCTATCATATTTTATGTGAAATCAGTAAGTACTTTTTCCTTTATGCGCTATTCCATGGATACCTCCGACATGTGCGTCAATATGCTCATTTTTACATGTCTGTCATATTTATGAAGGTCTTTGCCAAAGGATTAATATGACATATCATACTGAATACGGCTAAAAATATTTTATTTTTCGTCTCAATTTGCCCTAATATGCTACACGTTGGAGATAACGTAGCGTTACGTTATTACATATAAAATACGTTATTTTTTCTGTCGTTGATACTTTTCCTAAAATACAATTGAATACCATTTTAAATCTTCAAAACTAATTTTCTATGTTTACAAGTTTAAGATGAAGGGAGAAAAAACTAAACTGGAAAAAAATTTCTAATTAATACGTTGACATATTGTAGAGGGCCCTGGTGACGGAGTTAGGGTTCGTTGGACGTAATGTACACGGATGTGATATGCATTCTATTTATAGCAGTTTTGTATAAGTTCAATAACTAAACTTTTTAAAATAGTTCTGGAAACAATGTTTAAGTTCATTACTAAGTGTAGCAAACAAGAAAAAAATCAAAAAATAATTCAGAGAGTAAACTGACGTGTTTTCCTCTTATGGTGACGGAGTTTGGGTAGTAGGGGATAAAAGCAATATAAACAGACAAACAAGAAAATGATTCCAGTATATGAAGAGTGTAGCTAGCAAAGTCAGCTGTCTCCCTCCCCGATGATCTGATAGCTAGCTGCATAGCTTTATATGGAAATGAGAACAAAAGGAACTGTCAAATAACTTACTGGACAAAAGTGGGCGTTTCCACATATAAGATAAATAATTTACATCGGGATCGAAATGAAAAGATTTAAGAAAACGTAAATAAACTACATCTGCCACAATACATGTCAAATGTCTGATTGTAAAGATTAGGATACAAAAATTAAATACATTGCACCCGGCCTGCTTTAAAAAGAATCATATCATATGATACGCAATTATAATGAACTTTGCAGAACTTAATTTAAAAATTGTTCGTATATAAACAAACACACCAAACATGCTAAACAGCTGGAATAAGAAACCTAGGCAATTCGGAAAGTCTTATCTGTCGTAATAACAGATATAAAACATTCGACAAGAAATTGCGCAGATGTAGTGTGTCTTTAGAAAGACTTCAAGTCTGCAGAACATAATTACACATTCATTTCAAGGAATCAAACAAGGATGCGATTTTTTCTTGCCCAAAATTATGCATTACCTGAGTAAGCTGTTTACATCGGATGTGTATAATGCCCTTATAGTACAATGTCCTGACTGATTGTAATAAATAGTATTTAGGTGCACAAACAATTTCATTTTTATTGGAAATAATAATAAAATTATTATTCTCTATAATAATCATGGCGAAATGCAAAATAAAATATATAAAATTTTTATTGGACATAATAAAAATGACAGGAGTACATGTATAATGTCCCGATTTGGGGTATAATGACCTGATTTGATATGTCCTTCATAACAATTTAAATTGGTATTAATATTTATATTCTGTTTTTTTTGTTTTTTTTTTTGTTTTTTTTTTATAAGATTTTTTAAGATTGAAATTAATGTGTTCACATAAAAATTGGGATAAATATAAATTTATTCTTGGGAATTTCATTTTTCATCTTTTTGTACTGGATGTCAGTAGAGATATATAAGGCTCACAATTTGGAGAAAATGACAAATAAGGCTGGTTTGACAGTGAAAATGTGATAAATGTTTACTTTATCATTAATAAATTTTGTACAAGATGTTTTCATCCATATTATCTTTTTGAATGAAAATTTTTATTCCTAACACATGACCTTAGAGAGACCATGCAATGTGATTTTTTAAGGAATGCTGTAAAATTATAATAATTAAGAAAAAATGTGGAAAACATAATTGTCACTTAATGAATTGAACTGTCATATCAGTAATGTGGTAGCTTTTTTAATCAATGGATGCTTCACCCTGAGTTTCTTTTATATATATAAACAATTATGAAAACAATAACTTAATATTCAATTATTTTGCTCTTTAACACTAGATAATAAGTGCATTTTGAGTAACATTGAGGTAGGTCATTATTGTATTAAGTAAATCCCTTTTGCTATATGTCTAATGCCCTGTTCACACAGAGAGTTAAATTCGCAGTAAATTAATGCGAAGTGAAATAATGTGAATTAAAATAATGCGAATAAGAATGCATTTGGATAACAGCAAAAGCGAAGTAAGCTGATGCGAATTAAAATTTTGTTTCTAGGCTACGATAGCTTTTCAGTAAGGCTATTATGACATCATTTGTAAATCATGTCATGTATGCAGAGCAGATCATTTGACATAACATATATAACCATAGTGACTGTATACATTTTAGTGATTTACATTACTTTTCCTTTTTTTTCAACCAAAAATAGCACAGATACATAAATCTAACTACCAACAGACGCTCTAACCACTGCACCACGCGGTGTCTCCATATGAGTGAAAAATTCTCAAGAGGAATGTTAAACAACATACAAACAAACAAACACATGCATCAAAATTTAATTCGAATTAGCTTCGCTTAGCGTTCACATGGAGCTAATGCAATGTAATTTAATGCGCAGTAAATTAATTCGAATTAAACTAATTCACACTAAATTCTCCATGTGAATGCCCTTCAAATTTAATTCGCAGTAACTTGTGTTTAATTCAAATCAAACTCTCCTTGTGAACAGGGCATCATTATATGCCCTGTTCACATGGAGAGTTTAATTCAAATTAAACGTAAGTTAATTTACTGCACATTAAATTACTTCGCATTAGCTCTGTGTGAACGCTTCAAGCTAATCTAATTTGAATTAAATTTTGATGCATGTGTTTGTTTGTTTGTATGTTGTTTAACATTCCTCTTGAGAATTTTTCACTCATATGGAGACACCGCGTGGTGCAGTGGTTAGAGCGACTGCTCTAGAGTCGCGAAGTTAGGAGTTGATCCTTACATTGTGGGTTTGAATCCCACTGTGGGACGTGGAGACCGGTCCTTCGGATGAGACTGTATAGACCGAGGTCCCATGTCGCAGTAGGTGCTGGCACGAAAAAGATCCCTCACAGCTCAATGGCCGTAAGTGCCGAGTATAGGACAAAATTTGCAGCTCCCCACCGGCAAGTGGCGGCGTCTCCATATGAGTGAAAAATTCTTGAGAGGGATGTTAAACAACATACAAACAAACAAACATATGGAGACACCACCACTTGCTGGTGGAGAGCTGCAAATTTTGTCAAATACTTGGTACTTATGGTACTTACTACTGTGTCACAGGACCTCGGTTTATAAGGTCTTATCCGAAGGACCGGTCTCCATGTTCCACAGTTGGATTCGAACCCGCGACGTAAGGATCAACTCCTTACTCCATGACTCTAGAGCAGAAGC